ACACAGATTATACACCATAAAAGCACTGCCCTGGACCTGGACAATAAAAACAACCTGAACAGGAAAGAATAGAACATTACAAAAATACAAACAAAAAATGAGGAGAAGACAAGGCTCAGCCATATCAAACACTATGGAATAGAGAAAAACAAAACGCCCCCTATAGCTAGGCTGCGCAGAAAATAAAATAGGAAAAGGTTCTCAAAACTACAAAAATGTCCCTCCCTGTCTGTCTTACATTCGCGTAGACGTAAAACATGTGTCCTTATACAAACAAAAAGAAAATGGGTGGTTCTAAAAAATCAGAAATAACATCACTGTCCAACATCGTAGGTTTGAATGTAGAATTCCTACATATCATGCCTCAAGAGTTAGAACATTCACCACCACATTCTGATCATTGAGTGATACATCTATTTGTTCTCGTTGATCATGACCCCGAGGAAAGCCTTGGCACGTTTGGGCTCTGTGAAAGATTTCTTCGTCCCGTTGATTTCAAACGACAAAACTGCTGGGAAAGCCATTCTGAATCTAACTTTTCTCTTGATGAGCTCCATGCAGACGTCGGTGAAGCCTCTCCTGATGAGTTGCACCGCGGGGGGATGTCAGGCACTATGCGCAGAGGGCGATCCTCGTACTGCAGGTCCCCCGCGCGTTTAGCTGCAGACAATACCGTGGTGACGTCCCTCGAGCGATGAAACTTGATGATGACTGGGCGAGGGCGGTCATCAGCAGCTGGACCAAATGTGCGGTGGGCACGGTCAATGGAGATGTCAGAGACGCATAACTGTAGAAGTTTCGGGATAAACTTTTCAAAAAATAACACGGGGTTAGACCCTTCCACAGATTCTCTCAAGTTCAAAATGCGTACATTATCCCTCCTTGATCGAGCCTGGAGATCCAAAACTTGCGACGCTAGCTCTGAATTGGACTTAATCAGCTCGTTCACTCTGGCTTGCAGCGGCGCCATGTCGTCCTCCAGAGCGGAGGTGCGGCTCTCAGCCTCCGCCTGGCGAAACCCGATAGCGTCACACGAAGCCGCCACTTCGTCAATGCGCTTGATAACATTGTTCATTTTACCATCAAGGGACAGTTCCAGCTTGGCAATTGACTGATCCATGGCTGTTTGAGAGCGCCTTGCCTCTGCCGCGATCGTTTCAGAGATGTGTTGTAGCAATGTCTCGTTAGCTAGCTCCGTGGTGTTAGCAGTGAGGCTAGCTTCTCTGGCCAACTCCGGAAAATCCACCGTAGAGTCACGGGGTGGCTCATTTCGTGGCGTTTTTGGGATCTTCGGCATTGTAAAAGCTTTACATTGTAAAAGCTTTACTGGTTGATGTTAGCTGAATGGATACGAATTCGAGCGGGGAAGTTTACATTTCCAAAATACAGACAGGGAGAAGACAAAACCACTTGCTTTCACGTCGCCGCCATCTTGATGAGGCAGTTATAGTTATTTATTGATATAGCACTTTAACCCTAACCCACACGCACACACACACACAAATACACACACACAGGTCACACACACATGCACAGGTCACACACACACACGCATGCAAACGGACGTGCACGCGCCCGCACACACACACACACACAAGCACGCTCAAATGCACGCACACACACACACACACATGCACACACACACATGCACACACACACACGCACAAACACACACGCACAAACACACGCACATGCACACACGCACACGCACACACACATGCATGCACACCCCCCCCCACACACACACACACACACACACACACACACACACGCACACACATATATATTACTATAGCAAAACTTGTTTTTCTGATATAAATAAACATTTGTTGCACTTTGTTCCAGATCAGGAGACGCAGACCAACACCAGCAACACTCGTGGCGTCCAGTGACCAGTCATCTCCAGGTCAGACTCACACTCTTCTGGTCTTTAGGTTTAAGTTGGATTTAGAGACCAGAGAGAGACCAGAGAGAGACCAGAGATAGACCAGAAATAGACCAGAGAGAGACCAGAGAGAGACCAGAGAGACCAGAGAGAGACCAGAGAGAGACCAGAAAGAGACACCAGAGAGAGAGACCAGAGAAAGACCAGAGAGAGAATAGAGAGAGACCAGAGAGAGAGACCAGAGAGAGAGACCAGGGAGAGACCAGGGAGAGACCAGAGAGAGACCAGAGAGAGACCAGAGAGAGAGAGACTAAAGAGAGTTTAGGGTCTGACGACTGAACAGAACAGTCTTGCTTCATAGAAACAAGTGCTTTATAAAAAGACCCTTCTAAACACAGTCATAAATAATCACTGTGTTATAAAATAGCATCAGTATCATCAGTAACATCAGTATCATCAGTGACATCAGTATCATCAGTATCATCAGTGACATCAGTATCATCAGTAGCATCAGTATCATCAGTATCATCAGTATCATCAGTGACATCAGCATCATCAGTATCATCAGTAACATCAATATCATCAGTAACATCAGTATCATCAGTGACATCAGTATCATCAGTAGCATCAATATCATCAGTATCATCAGTGACATCAGTATCATCAGTAGCATCAGTATCATCAGTATCATCAGTGACATCAGTATCATCAGTGACATCAGTATCATCAGTAGCATCAATATCATCAGTATCATCAGTGACATCAGTATCATCAGTAGCATCAGTATCATCAGTAGCATCAATATCATCAGTATCATCAGTGACATCAGTATCATCAGTAGCATCAGTATCATCAGTATCATCAGTATCATCAGTGACATCAGCATCATCAGTATCATCAGTAACATCAATATCATCAGTAACATCAGTATCATCAGTGACATCAGTATCATCAGTAGCATCAATATCATCAGTATCATCAGTGACATCAGTATCATCAGTAGCATCAGTATCATCAGTATCATCAGTGACATCAGTATCATCAGTATCATCAGTGACATTAGTAACATCAGTATCATCAGTATCATCAGTGGCATCAGTATCATCAGTGACATCAGTATCATCAGTGACATTAGTGACATCAGTATCATCAGTATCATCAGTGGCATCAGTATCATCAGTGACATCATTATCATCAGTGACATCAGTATCATCAGTAGCATCAGTAGAAGAAGAAGAAGACACTTTATTTATATAGCACCTTTCACAGATAAAATCACAAAGTGCTTCACAGGGGCACAACAATAAAAGTTACAGAGCAATATTAAAACAAATTGATTAAAACAATCACAGCCTTTTCAACTAAAAGCTCGTCCAAACAGCCATGTCTTCAGCTGTTTTTTAAAGGAATCGACAGTGTCGGTCACACGTAGCGACAGAGGAAGGACATTCCACAGTTTAGGAGCAACAACTTCAAAGGACAGGTATCATCAGTAGCATCAGTATCATCAGTGGCATTAGTATCATCAGTGACATCATTTTAATCAGTGACATCATTTTCATCAGTGACATCAGTATCATCAGTAGCATCAGTATCATCATTAGCATCAGTATCATCAGTATCATCAGTGACATCAGTATCATCAGTAGCATCAGTATCATCAGTGACATCAGTTGCATAAGTATCATCAGTAGCATCAGTATCATCAGTATCATCAGTAACATCAGTAGCATCATTGACATCAGTAGCATCAGTATCATCAGTGACATCAGTATCATCAGTATCATCAGTGACATCACTTGCATCAGTATCATCAGTGACATCATCAGTATCATCAGTATCATCAGTAGCATCAGTATCATCAGTAACATCAGTATCATCAGTGACATGAGTAGCATCAGTGACATCAGTATCATCAGTGACATCAGTAGCATCAGTGACATCAGTATCATCAGTAACATCAGTAGCATCAGTGACGTCAGTAGCATCAGTGACATCAGTAGCATCAGTGACATCAGTAACATCAGTATCATCAGTAACATCAGTAGCATCAGTGACATCAGTATCATCAGTAGCATCAGTATCATCAGTAACATCAGTAACATCAGTATCATCAGTGACATCAGTAGCATCAGTGACATCAGTATCATCAGTGACATCAGTAGCATCAGTGACATCAGTAGCATCAGTGACATCAGTATCATCAGTGACATCAGTAGCATCAGTGACATCAGTATCATCAGTGACATCAGTAGCATCAGTGACATCAGTATCATCAGTAGCATCAGTGACATCAGTATCATCAGTATCATCAGTAACATCAGTAGCATCAGTGACATCAGTATAATCAGTGACATCAGTAGCATCAGTGACATCAGTATCATCAGTGACATCAGTAGCATCAGTGACATCAGTAGCATCAGTGACATCAGTATAATCAGTGACATCAGTAGCATCAGTGACATCAGTATCATCAGTATCATCAGTAGCATCAGTGACATCAGTAGCATCAGTGACATCAGTATAATCAGTGACATCAGTAGCATCAGTGACATCAGTATCATCAGTATCATCAGTAACATCAGTATCATCAGTAGCATCAGTGACATCAGTAGCATCAGTGACATCAGTATCATCAGTGACATCAGTAGCATCAGTGACATCAGTATCATCAGTAGCATCAGTGACATCAGTAGCATCAGTGACATCAGTATCATCAGTGACATCAGTAGCATCAGTGACATCAGTATCATCAGTGACATCAGTAGCATCAGTGACATCAGTATCATCAGTAGCATCAGTGACATCAGTATCATCAGTGACATCAGTAGCATCAGTGACATCAGTATCATCAGTAGCATCAGTGACATCAGTAGCATCAGTGACATCAGTATCATCAGTGACATCAGTAGCATCAGTGACATCAGTATCATCAGTAGCATCAGTGACATCAGTAGCATCAGTGACATCAGTATCATCAGTAGCATCAGTGACATCAGTAGCATCAGTGAAATCAGTATCATCAGTGACATCAGTAGCATCAGTGACATCAGTATCATCAGTAGCATCAGTGACATCAGTAGCATCAGTGACATCAGTATCATCAGTGACATCAGTAGCATCAGTGACATCAGTATCATCAGTAGCATCAGTGACATCAGTAGCATCAGTGACATCAGTATCATCAGTAGCATCAGTGACATCAGTAGCATCAGTGACATCAGTATCATCAGTGACATCAGTAGCATCAGTGACATCAGTATCATCAGTAGCATCAGTGACATTAGTAGCATCAGTGACATCAGTATCATCAGTGACATCAGTAGCATCAGTGACATCAGTATCATCAGTGACATCAGTAGCATCAGTGACATCAGTATCATCAGTAGCATCAGTGACATCAGTAGCATCAGTGACATCAGTATCATCAGTGACATCAGTAGCATCAGTGACATCAGTAGCATCAGTATCATCAGTGACATCAGTAGCATCAGTGACATCAGTATCATCAGTGACATCAGTAGCATCAGTGACATCAGTATCATCAGTAGCATCAGTGACATCAGTAGCATCAGTGACATCAGTAACATCAGCCCAGATAGTTTTAAGTGAGGATAATATATGCTCACGTTCACTCCCAGTTCCTTGTGCTTTGGGATGCACCGGTTGCTAAGCAACAAGGAGGTGTCCCAGAAAACAGTTCAGCAATGATCAAAGTTATGACGCTCTGAGCTTTTTCTTCAGGATCAGAGAAAGTCGTTGTTACTCCACACACGGAGCACCTTTACATCCTGGACTGTTATTTAGCATCAGGACCGTTAGCTTTAGCATCAGTCAGAGTGTAATCTTCACATTTGTATTTATCATTTAAACACTTTTCACTGTTGTCTCTTTGAGATGTGTTTTTAACTGTGTTCCTCGTCCACAGAGATAGATGAAGACCGCATCCCAAACCAACTCTACAAGGTACTCCTCTCCTTCTGTCTCCTTCCGTCTTCATCTTTCTCCTTCCGTCTCCTTCTTTCTCCTTCTTTCTCCTTCTTTCTCCTTCTTTCTCCTTCCGTCTCCTATCTCCTTCCGTCTCCTTCTTTCTCCTTCGTTCTCCTTCCGTCTCCTTCCGTCTCCTTCTTTCTCCTTCTTTCTCCTTCCGTCTCCTTCCTTCTCCTTCCGTCTCCTTCTTTCTCCTCCTTTCTCTTTCCGTCTCCTTCCGTCTCCTTCTGTCTCCTGTCTCCTTCCGTCTCCTTCCGTCTCCTTCTTTCTCCTTCTTTCTCCTTCCGTCTCCTTCCTTCTCCTTCCGTCTCCTTCTTTCTCCTTCTTTCTCCTTCCGTCTCCTATCTCCTTCCGTCTCCTTCTTTCTCCTTCTTTCTCCTTCCGTCTCCTTCCGTCTCCTTCTTTCTCCTTCTTTCTCCTTCCGTCTCCTTCCTTCTCCTTCCGTCTCCTTCTTTCTCCTCCTTTCTCTTTCCGTCTCCTTCCGTCTCCTTCCGTCTCCTATCTCCTTCCGTCTCCTTCTGTCTCCTTCTTTCTCCTTCTTTCTCCTTCCGTCTCCTTCCTTCTCCTTCTGTCTCCTTCTTTCTCCTCCTTTCTCTTTCCGTCTCCTTCCGTCTCCTTCTGTCTCCTGTCTCCTTCCGTCTCCTTCCGTCTCCTTCCGTCTCTTTCTTTCTCCTTCCGTCTCCTTCCTTCTCCTTCCGTCTCCTTCTTTCTCCTCCTTTCTCTTTCCGTCTCCTTCCGTCTCCTGTCTCCTTCCGTCTCCTTCCGTCTCCTGTCTCCTTCCGTCTCCTTCCTTCTCCTTCCGTCTCCTTCTGTCTCCTTCTTTCTCCTTCCGTCTCCTTCCGTCTCCTTCCATCTCCTTCTTTCTCCTCCTTTCTCTTTCCGTCTCCTTCCGTCTCCTTCCGTCTCCTTCTTTCTCCTTCTTTCTCCTTCCTTCTCCTTCCGTCTCCTTCTTTCTCCTTCCGTCTCCTTCCTTCTCCTTCCGTCTCCTTCTTTCTCCTCCTTTCTCTTTCCGTCTCCTTCCGTCTCCTTCCGTCTCCTGTCTCCTTCCGTCTCCTGTCTCCTTCCGTCTCCTTCCGTCTCCTGTCTCCTTCCGTCTCCTTCTGTCTCCTTCTTTCTCCTTCTTTCTCCTTCCGTCTCCTTCTTTCTCCTCCTTTCTCTTTCCGTCTCCTGTCTCTTTCCGTCTCCTTCCGTCTCCTTCCGCTCCTTCCGTCTCCTTCCGTCTCCTTCCGTCTCCTTTTTTCTCCTCCTTTCTCTTTCCGTCTCCTTCCGTCTCCTTCTGTCTCCTGTCTCCTTCCGTCTCCTTCTGTCTCCTGTCTCCTTTCGTCTCCTTCCGTCTCCTTCCGTCTCCTGTCTCCTTCCGTCTCCTTCTGTCTCCTGTCTCCTTCCGTCTCCTTCCGTCTCCTTCCGTCTCCTTCCGTCTCCTTCTGTCTCCTTCTGTCTCCTGTCTCCTTCCGTCTCCTTCTGTCTCCTGTCTCCTTCCGTCTCCTTCCGTCTCCTTCCGTCTCCTGTCTCCTTCCGTCTCCTTCCGTCTCCTTCCGTCTCCTTCTGTCTCCTTCTGTCTCCTGTCTCCTTCCGTCTCCTTCCGTCTCCTGTCTCCTTCCGTCTCCTGTCTCCTTCCGTCTCCTTCTGTCTCCTCCTGACGTGATGTTTTTCAGGCAGCTCTGTTGAATTCTCCTCGACAACGACGGAAAGGACCAAAGGGAAACCCGACAATGAAAGGTAACTTCTGTTGTTTTGTTTTAGCACTTTCTTTTTGGAAGAACCTTCAACTGCATGTTTATATTATTATATATATTATTATGTTATATTAAACATAACGCGTAGGCGTAATTTTAACCTCTTTGAAAACAGTAGACGGGGCTGGAGTGCTTCTTGGATGTAAAAATTAAATGAGGAAAAAAGTGAGGAAAAAAGTAAACTTTTGGTGCTCTTCAGTGGAGGGACCAATGTTGATAGTTCTGACAGAAGACTGAGGCACTCAAAAGTTACAAAAATCTTTAAAAGCCTTTATTTGACATGGCAATAAGAGGTTAAAATTACGGCTACGCGTTTCAGCCTTCTGGCCTTCTTCAGGGCACACTCGAGAGGAGTGTCTCAGTACAGATTTAAAGAGAATGGTGCTTGTCACATGGTCAGTGGGCGGGCCTACAGTCACAAGGTTTAAAATCTGGAAAAAATATTGAAACTCCCAAACAAAGTGCATAATATTATGTACACACCTATAAAGAATACAATATATAAGAAATATAATCAATGGTCTTTTTTGAAAAGTACTTAAAGAAAAGGAGAATAGTCCAACTCCCCATTTAAGCCTGGGAATTGAGTGGCTTTTAAAGTATATATCCAGTAGGACTCTCTTTGAAGTAATGTCTTGAGTCTATTTCCTCCTCTTATTGTCTCTGGAATATGCTCAATGCCACAGATCTTCAGGCTACTGCAACTTCCATGGTTGGAGTCTCTGTAGTGTAGAGCCATTGGATATTGTGGGTTTTTTGTCCTTATAGCTTGCTTGTGTTCGGCCAGTCTGTTTTTCAGTTTCCGTTTTGTACGGCCTACATAGAAGCGGCCGCAGGGACACTCAAGTCTATAAACTACAAAGGTAGTATTGCAATTGATGATTGTTTTGATGGTGAAAGTTTGTCCAGACGAAACTTCCATAAAGTGATTAGTACGCTGAATATGGTCGCAGTCTGTACAGTTTCCACATCTATAACAGCCACTTTGAGTGTTCAGCCATGTATTTGATTTAAGGGGTGGAAGGTAGCTGTTCACCAGTTTATTTCCAAGTGTTGGGGCTTTTCTAAAACTTACTGTTGGTGAATCTGGGAGGGCCTCTCTCAATGTACTGTCGCTTTTTAAGATGCTCCAATTCCTGTTGATTATTTGTTTTATTTTATTGGCTTCTGTGCCAAATTCAGTTACAAAGTAGACCTGGTTAGAACAGTCATTTGACTTTGTTTTCTGTATTAGCAGTCGTTCTCGATTCTGATGTTTTGCTCTGTTGTAGGCTGAATCTATGGTGCTGGGGTGTACCCTCTGTTCTTGAATCTCCTTTTCATTTCTTCGGCATTTTCCTCAAAGTTTTGGTCTGTGTCACAGATTCTCCGTAGCCTTTTAAATTGACCAACTGGTATATTTTGTAACAGCCATGGAGGATGGAAGCTGTCTGCTTTAAGTATAATAATCTTATCTGAAGGTTTTCTAAAGATTGTGCTATGTAGATCCCCATATATATTTTCAAATCTAGAAAATGTATTTCTGTTAGTGAATAATCTAGACTGAGTTTGATATTGATATTGCTGGTGTTCAAATAAGTATGGAATTATAAAAGTTCTTGTTCAGATCCAGACCACAAAAGTAGAACATCATCAATATACCGACCCCACCACAATATTTTGTCTTTATATTGGTTGTCCGTTGACAACACGTATTTCTCTTCCCAAAATCCCATATAGAGATTTGCATAATTTGGTGCAAAGCAGGCTCCCATGGCAGTGCCTTTTTGTTGTCTATACAATTGTTGCTGAAAAAGAAATACATTGTTCTTTAATGTCCATTCTGTCAATTCTAGCAAAAGGTCAGCAGGGGGAGTGTTTCTGGAGGTCTTGTTGAAAGGTAATGTTTCAGTGCCGATATTCCGTCTTCATGGTCGATGTTAGAGTATAAAGACTCTACATCCATAGTTGCAAGATAGCCATGTCCAATATTTTTGATCCTTTTCATTTTGTTTAGGACTTGTGTGCTATCTTGAATGAAGGAAGGCAAACTCTTTACAAAGTGTTTGATGTGAAAATTGATGTATTTAGACAAGGGTTCAGTCAAAGACTCATTCCCACTGATTATGGGTCTTCCTGGTGGGTTTTTGATATTTTTATGTACTTTAGGGAGCATATAGAAGGATGGTATGCGTGGGTTCTTACAAAGTAGAAAATCATGCTCATTCTGTGTAATCCAATTGTTTTCTTTAGCATGCAAAAGTATACAAGTAAGTTATACTTTTGTAAAGAACAATATATTTCTTTTTCAGCAACAATTGACAACAAAAAGGCACTGCCATGGGAGCCTGCTTTGCACCAAATTATGCAAATCTCTATATGGGATTTTGGGAAGAGAAATACGTGTTGTCAACGGACAACCAATATAAAGACAAAATATTGTGGTGGGGTCGGTATATTGATGATGTTCTACTTTTGTGGTCTGGATCTGAACAAGAACTTTTATAATTCCATACTTATTTGAACACCAGCAATATCAATATCAAACTCAGTCTAGATTATTCACTAACAGAAATACATTTTCTAGATTTGAAAATATATATGGGGATCTACATAGCACAATCTTTAGAAAACCTTCAGATAAGATTATTATACTTAAAGCAGACAGCTTCCATCCTCCATGGCTGTTACAAAATATACCAGTTGGTCAATTTAAAAGGCTACGGAGAATCTGTGACACAGACCAAAACTTTGAGGAAAATGCCGAAGAAATGAAAAGGAGATTCAAGAACAGAGGGTACACCCCAGCACCATAGATTCAGCCTACAACAGAGCAAAACATCAGAATCGAGAACAACTGCTAATACAGAAAACAAAGTCAAATGACTGTTCTAACCAGGTCTACTTTGTAACTGAATTTGGCACAGAAGCCAATAAAATAAAACAAATAATCAACAGGAATTGGAGCATCTTAAAAAGCGACAGTACATTGAGAGAGGCCCTCCCAGATTCACCAACAGTAAGTTTTAGAAAAGCCCCAACACTTGGAAATAAACTGGTGAACAGCTACCTTCCACCCCTTAAATCAAATACATGGCTGAACACTCAAAGTGGCTGTTATAGATGTGGAAACTGTACAGACTGCGACCATATTCAGCGTACTAATCACTTTATGGAAGTTTCGTCTGGACAAACTTTCACCATCAAAACAATCATCAATTGCAATACTACCTTTGTAGTTTATAGACTTGAGTGTCCCTGCGGCCGCTTCTATGTAGGCCGTACAAAACGGAAACTGAAAAACAGACTGGCCGAACACAAGCAAGCTATAAGGACAAAAAACCCACAATATCCAATGGCTCTACACTACAGAGACTCCAACCATGGAAGTTGCAGTAGCCTGAAGATCTGTGGCATTGAGCATATTCCAGAGACAATAAGAGGAGGAAATAGACTCAAGACATTACTTCAAAGAGAGTCCTACTGGATATATACTTTAAAAGCCACTCAATTCCCAGGCTTAAATGGGGAGTTGGACTATTCTCCTTTTCTTTAAGTACTTTTCAAAAAAGACCATTGATTATATTTCTTATATATTGTATTCTTTATAGGTGTGTACATAATATTATGCACTTTGTTTGGGAGTTTCAATATTTTTTCCAGATTTTAAACCTTGTGACTGTAGGCCCGCCCACTGACCATGTGACAAGCACCATTCTCTTTAAATCTGTACTGAGACACTCCTCTCGAGTGTGCCCTGAAGAAGGCCAGAAGGCTGAAACGCGTAGCCGTAATTTTAACCTCTTATTGCCATGTCAAATAAAGGCTTTTAAAGATTTTTGTAACTTTTGAGTGCCTCAGTCTTCTGTCTGAAATATTAAACATATGTTTATAGTATAAGGTTACTATACGTCAGATTCAGTCTTTAGCTCCTGCAGTCTTTAGCTCCTGAAGTCTTTAGCTCCTGAAGTCTTAAGCTCCTGAAGTCTTTAGCTCCTGAAGTCTTTAGCTCCTGAAGTCTTTAGCTCATGAAGTCTTTAGCTCCTGAAGTCCTTAGCTCCTGAAGTCTTTAGCTCCTGAAGTCTTTAGCTCCTGAAGTCTATAGCTCATGAAGTCTTTAGCTCCTGAAGTCTTAAGCTCCTGAAGTCTTTAGCTCCTGAAGTCTTTAGCTCCTGAAGTCTTTAGCTCCTGAAGTCTATAGCTCATGAAGTCTTTAGCTCCTGAAGTCTTTAGCTCCTGAAGTCTCAAGCTCCTGAAGTCTTTAGCTCCTGAAGTCTTTAGCTCCTGAAGTCTTAAGCTCATGAAGTCTTTAGCTCCTGAAGTCTTTAGCTCCTGAAGTCTTTAGCTCCTGAAGTCCATAGCTCATGAAGTCTTTAGCTCCTGAAGTCTTTAGCTCCTGAAGTCTTTAGCTCCTGAAGTCTTTAGCTCCTGAAGTCTTTAGCTCCTGAAGTCTATAGCTCATGAAGTCTTTAGCTCCTGAAGTCTTAAGCTCATGAAGTCTTTAGCTCCTGAAGTCTTTAGCTCCTGAAGTCTTTAGCTCCTGAAGTCTATAGCTCATGAAGTCTTTAGCTCCTGAAGTCTTAAGCTCCTGAAGTCTTTAGCTCCTGAAGTCTTTAGCTCCTGAAGTCTTTAGCTCCTGAAGTCTATAGCTCATGAAGTCTTTAGCTCCTGAAGTCTTTAGCTCCTGATGTATTCAGCTCCTGAAGTCTTTACTTCAAACTCATCCTAGAGTCTTAACTCTTGACAGTTATAGAGGTCTTCCCCCACAGCGCCCCCTGCTGGAGCCTTAGGCAGTAACAAAGTGACATATGTTTGTTCCAGAGCTGCAGTTCCTGGTGGAGCATCATCTGTACCTACAGCAGCAGGGAGGAGACGAGTGCTCCTCAGAGAGCTGCCTGTCGGACCGGCCCGGTCCAGACCGACCCAGTCCAGATAGGCCCAGTCCAGACCAGTCTGAGGGGGACGAGCTGCCCCACGACGACCAGGCCACTCTGGAAGCCTTCGAGAAACTGCGCTGCCAAATGGAAGGTCAGCCTGGTCTGTGTTTGTGTTTGGCTAAACTGTAATTCTCTCTGGGGACTTTACAAATTGTTGATTCGCCAACGCAGATCAGAGAATCAGACTTTTCAAACACAGAGAATGCTTTTCTAAAAACACACACATGGGTCCATAAGGAGCAGAGAACACTGGTCCATTAATGATGATAAAGTTAGTAAATGTTTAACATGGATCATCCTGGATCTTCTCTGTCACTACACGCACACACACACAGACACACACACACAGACACACACACAGACACACAGACACAGACACACACAGACACACACAGATACACACACACAGACACATACACACACAGACACACACAGATACACACAGACACACACACACAGACACACACACACAGACACACACACACACAGACACACACAGACACACACACACAGGCACACACACACACACACACACACACACAGACACACACACACACACACACACACACACACACAGACACACACAGACACACACACAGACACACACACACAGACACACACACACACACACAGACACACACACACAGACACAGACACACACACACAGACACACACACAGACACAGACAGACACACACACACACACACACACACACAGACACAGACAGACACACACACACACACACACACACACAGACACACACACACACAGACACACACACATATATATATAAAAATAAAATTGTCCACTCACCTTTGGCCCTCCGTGGGCGGTTATCCCTCTCTATCCGTGGGCGGTTATCCCTCTCTATCTGTGGGCGGTTATCCCTCTCTATCCGTGGGCGGTTATCCCTCTCTATCCGTGGGCGGTTATCCCTCTCTAAGCTCGGGTCCTCTACCAGAGGCCTGGGAGCTTGAGGGTTCTGCGCAGTATCTTTGCTGTTCCTAGCACTGCACATTTCTGGACCCAGATGTCCGAGGTTGTTCCAGGGATCCGCTGTAACCTCTTCTAGCTTCGGGGTCACTGCCCCGAGTGCACCATCACCACGGGCACTACTGTGACCTTTACCCTCCAGGCCCTCTCCAGCTCCTCTCTGAGACCTTGGTATTTCTCAAGCTTTTCATGTTCTTTTTTCCGGATGTTACCATCGCTTGGAATTGCCACGTCCACCACCACGGCTGTCCTCTGCCCTTTGTCCACCACCACGGTTGTCCTCTGCCCTTTGTCCACCACCACGGCTGTCCTCTGCCCTTTGTCCACCACCACGGCTGTCCTCTGCCCTTTGTCCACCACCACGGCTGTCCTCTGCCCTTTGTCCACCACCACGGCTGTCCTCTGCCCTTTGTCCACCACCACGGCTGTCCTCTGCCCTTTGTCCACCACCACGGCTGTCCTCTGCCCTTTGTCTACCACCACGATGTCAGGTTGGTTCATTACCATTCGGTCGGTCTGTATCTGGAAGTCCCACAGGATCTTTGCACGCTCATTCTCCACCACCTTTGGAGGAGTTTCCCACTTAGACCTTGGGGTTTCCAGCCCATACTCTGCACAGATGTTTCTGTACACTATGCCAGCCATTTGGTTATGGCGTTCCATGTAGGCCTTCCCTGCAGCATCTTGCACCCTGCAGTTATGTGTTGGATCGTCTCAGGTGCCTCTTTGCACAACCGACACCTTGGGTCTTGTCTGGTGTGGTATATCTGGGCCTCTATCGCTCTGGTGCTCAGGGTCTGTTCCTGTGCAGCCATGATGAGTGCCTCTGTGCTGTAGGCCAGCCCTTTCTAGCCATTGGTAGGACTTCTTGAGATCAGCCACTTCTGTTATGCTCCGGTGGTACATGCCGTGTAGGGGCTTGTTCTCCCATGATGGGCTCTCCTCCAGCACCTCCTCATCTCGCCACTGCCTGAGACATTCACTGAGTACGTCATCCGTTTTGGCCTTCTCCATGATGTAGTTATGGAGTTTGGATGTTTGGTCCTGGACAGTGGCTCTCACACTCACTAGTCCTCGGCCTCCTTCTTTACGGCTTACGTACAGTCTCAGGGTGCTGGATTTGGGATGGAACCCAACATGCATGGTAAGGAGCTTTGAGTTTTAACATCCGTGGTCTGAATCTCTTCCTTTGGCCACCTGATTATTCCTGCAGGGTCTGATCACTGGCAGGGCGTAGCTGTTAATTGCCCGGGCCTTGTTCTTGCCATTGAGCCGGCTTCTTAGTGGGGCGGCTGTGGCTGTAAAGTGCCAAACTGCCGTTGGGTCCCCCACATTAGAATGAGTCTGGTGTGTGTGTGAATGGTTGGTGGTGGTGGGAGGGGCCGATGCCACAGTCTGGTTGCCTGGCTTCTGTCAGTGTGCCCCAAGGCAGCTGTGGCTACAGTAATAGTTTGGAGAGAGAGAATAATGATGTGAAGAGAGTCTGAGTCCTGGAAAGAACTGAATAAAACGGATGCATTCTTATTCAAATGAAGATTCCAGTCTGGAGAAAATGAACAAAGAGGATGTTGTAGGAGAGAGGAGTCATCGCTGCAGCAGCTGCATCAGCTTTGTGCACAGACCTTTGGAACAGCCTCCTTAGTAAATAACTCAGACAAGAATAACACAGAGCAGTCGTTTGTTAAAGAGGATTCTGGTTCAATAAACCATAGACAAGAATGAATACCATGTGGTCTCTCCCTATGGTCCAATATCATGTGGTCTCTCGCTATGGTCCAATATCATGTGGTCTCTCCCTATGGTCCAATATCATGTGGTCTCTCCCTATGGTCCAATATCATGTGGTCTCTCCCTATGGTCCAATATCATGTGGTCTCTCCCTATGGTCCAATATCATGTGGTCTCTCCCTATGGTCCAATATCATGTGGTCTCTCCCTATGGTCCAATATCATGTGGTCTCTCCCTATGGTCCAATATCATGTGGTCTCTCCCTATGGTCCAATATCATGTGGTCTCTCCCTATGGTCCAATATCATGTGGTCTCTCGCTATGGTCCAATATCATGTGGTCTCTCACTATGGTCCAATATCATGTGGTCTCTCACTATGGTCCAATATCATGTGGTCTCTCGCTATGGTCCAATATCATGTGGTCTCTCACTATGGTCCAATATCATGTGGTCTCTCACTATGGTCCAATATCATGTGGTCTCTCGCTATGGTCCAATATCATGTGGTCTCTTGCTATGGTCCAATATCATTCAGATTCAGATTCAGTTTATTTGCCATTTGCAGTAAAAAACCACATTGGAATACATTAGCAAAAAGTCTCCAGTGTGCACAGACAAATACAGACATAAAACAACATCAAAAGACAGAATTAAAAACAAATTAAAGCCGCAAGCGGCGTCGAACGGCCCTCGCCGCACAACGCAACCGAGGTGGCGCTAACGCGCCATTTTCCTACCGCCCTGATGGGAGCGACACTGTGCATTTTGAATGCCTATGATCAGTGTTTGTGTGTGTCTATTGAAAAGGTAAACCTCATTCTCCCCTTGTAACACTTGACTCAGTCTGTAGGGGGCGCTAATGCAGCAATTTCATGATTCACACTTTCAGTTTACTCAAACCCGAGAGTTGAACAGTCAATTCAAATTTTGTGCAAATCGGACTTTGTAGGTGCAAACGGAAGGCATTTATGTTGTACAATAGCGCCCCCTACAAATTCAAATGTTTAGTGTTATTCCAAAAAACACCAAAATAATACACTTTATGCCTGAAAAGAACTTGTTGCAAAGTTTGGTGAGTTTTCGTGTTTGTTCAGTGGGTCAAATATGAGCTCAAACAACAGAAAACCTAAATACCTTTATCCCCATGTAAACCTTTACTCAGCCTGTAGGGGGCGCTAATGGGCCAATGTCATTGTTCGCACTGTCATGTGACCTAGGCCCAGGAGTTAAACAACCGAGGCAAGTTTAGTGAATGTGCTCCTGTTTGCACATACAATCTGAGTGTGTCCATAGAGTCTCCATTGGATAACATGGGAACTTCGCACCTCTCTATGAAAATAACCACACTTGTGGAGTCTGTCACGCTCAGACCGTTTGACTTATTCAAATTCTATATTCAACTATTGATGGTCCATGTGTTGAGACGATGTGGAGCGATTTTCAGCCAAATTAGTGAAACGGCCGCGGCTGGTTTGATGTTTGAGCGAGGTGTACCTTTCAGAGATATAATGATTTTCCCATAGACACAAACAGGGGAGTGTTGGTCGTCGCCACGGCAACAGGGTAAAAAATAGGTATATGTTGTCATTGACTTTTTGAATCCAGACGACAAAACAGAATTATGTGCAAAATTTCAAACATTTTGAAAAAACGAAATTGTATCAAGCCAATGCAAAACTTTGACATAGTCTGTAGGGGGCGCTAATGAGCCAATTTCAACTTTCAAATGACCTAGACCCTGGAGCTGAACAATGGATTAAAATTTTGTGCAAATCAGACTTTGTTTGTGCAAACGGGTGCAAATTTACTTTAGTCAAAAATTGGAAAAAAAAAATCACATTTTGCCGCTCCGCTGCTCGGACAACGTTTAACTGATACAAATTCTATATTCAATAATTGATGGTACATGTGTTTAGACCATGTGGAGCAATTTTGAAAGAAATCGGTGAAACGGCCGAGGAGGAGATAATTTCCAACCGACATGTGTGAAAAATATCTATTTTCATTTTTCCATTTCCCATTGAAATTAATGAGCTCCCTGTTTGTCAGGGGGCGGAGCCATAATAACTTTTTTTTCATGTCTTGACTTGAGGAACATGTGTACCGAATTTCGTGGCTCTACGACAAACTTGACCTCCGACCCCCTCCCATAGGCGCAATGTAAACTGACTTTTGTAGGGGGCGCTGTTCAGGCATTTTTTTGTCCCATAAAAATAAACACCAAAAAAATTTATTTTTCGCCAGTTCTGAAACGGCCGCGGCTGGTTTGATATTTGAGCGAGGTGTACCTTTCAGAGATATAATGATCTCCAGGCTGTGACAGTTACAACGAGTAATGAAAGCAAAAGGCCCTTACCCCAGTTGGGGC